CTGGTTCTAATCCGGTTCGTTTCCGTCTCTGATCTGGTTCTAATCCGGTTCGTTTCCGTCTCTGATCTGGTTCTAATCCGGTTCGTTTCCGTCTCTGATCTGGTTCTAATCAGATTCGTTTCCGTCTCTGATCTGGTTCTAATCTGGTCCGTTTCCTTCTCTGATCTGGTTCTAATCCGGTCCGTTCCAGTCTCTGATCTGATTCTAATCAGATTCGTTTCCGTCTATGATCTGGTGCTAATCCGGTCCGTTTCCTTCTCTGATCTGTCTCTAATCCGGTCCGTTTCCGTCTCTGATCTGGTTCTGATCCGGTCCGTTTCCGTCTCTGACCCTGTCTCTGCTCCGGTTCTGACCCGGTCCGTTTCCGTCCCTGACCCTGTCTCTGCTCCGGTTCTGACCCGGTGCGTTTCCGTCTCTGACCCTGTCTCTGCTCCGGTTCTGACCCGGTCCGGTTCCGTCTCTGACCCCCAGAGTCCACCCAGGCCCTGCAGGCTCCGCCCAGAGGAGGAACCGTACAGAGGGACAAAGAGATCAAGAAGCTGAACGAGGAGATCGAGCGTCTGAAGAAGAAGCTGGCAGGTCAGAAGGTGGCGGTCTCAGAGTTCTGGTGTCTGAGGCCCGGTTGGGTCCTGATCCGCTGTCCTGTGATGTGTCAGACTCTGATAGGCTGGAGCACCAGCTGGAGGAGGCCGTCACGCTCAGACAGGACTACGAGAGCTCCGCCTCCAAACTGCAGACCCTGGAGAGACAGGTGAAGACCCTGAGACAGGAGAAGGAGGACGTCCACAAGGTAAACGGCGCCGTCCTCGTCCGCTTCTGTCCCCGCTGCCTCAGCCTTCACCTCCACCCTCCTCTTCCTCCGAGCAGCAGCTGGCCGACTCCTTGGAGCGTCTCAGGAGCCAGAGCAAGGAGCTGAAGGAGGCGCACTCCCAGAGGAAGCTGGCCCTGCAGGAGTTCTCAGAGCTGTCGGAGCGCATGGCCGAGCTGCGCTCCTCCAAGCAGCGTCTGTCCCGTCAGCTCAGGGACAAGGAGGAGGAGATGGACGCCCTCCTGCAGAAGATGGACGCCCTGAGGCTGGAGATCCGCAAGACGGAGAAGAATCGGAAGGAGGTGAGGAGTCTCTCCAAAATAAGAGTCACAATAAAGCTGTGCTTTGGCCACCAGAGGGAGCCAGAGCTCCTGCTCCTTTCACAATAAGAGCCCTGCTGTCTGTGTGTTTGGCAGCTGGAGGCTCAGCTGGACGAGGCCAAGGCGGAGTCATCAAAGGAGAGGAAGCTGCGGGAAAACGGCGAGGTTTACTCCAAACAGCTGGAGGCGGAGCTACGCAGCCTTAAGGTGAGGAGGCAGAACCGCCTCCCCTCTGTCAGGACCTCAGCACGGCCCTCAGGGTCAGCCCCATTCTGCTTTCAGTCCCAGCAGGGTCGAGGGGCGGCAGGCGGAGGAGGGGCGGAGTCTCAGCAGGAGCTGTCCCGTCTGAAGGCGGAGCTGGACAAGAAGGTTCTGTTCTACGAGGAGGAGCTGCTGAGGAAGGACTCCGCCCACTCCGGCGAGATCAAGACTCTGCGCAAAGACCTGCAGGAGTCCGAGGGGGCGCGGCTCGCCGCCAACAAGGAGCTGCTGCAGCTCCGAGACAAGCTGGACAAAGCCAACAGGGACAGGCGAGTCCTGGAGGACGGGGGTTCTGGATCGGGTCCTGGTCCGGCTCCGGTTCTGAACCGGCTGTGTGTGTGACTCTGCAGGCAGAACGAGATGGACGAGGCCGTGGCGGCTCTGAAGGAGAAACACGAGCGCGAGAAGAACATGCTGACCGAGGAGAACCGCAAGCTGACGGCGGAGACGGACAAGGTGAGCGGCTGCAGAACCCCGACCAGAACCAGCGTCGGCCCGGTTCTAATCCCATCCTCTCCTGCAGCTGTGTTCCTTCGTGGACAACCTGACGGCCCAGAACCGGCAGCTGGAGGACGACCTGCAGGACCTGTCCTCCAAGAAGGAGAGCGTGTCCCACTGGGAGGCCCAGATCGCAGAGATCATCCAGTGGTGAGTGACCCGTGTCATCAGAACCGCCGCCCACCAGGGGGAGCTGTGCCTCTAAGCTGCTGGTTTCTGTGCTCAGGGTCAGCGACGAGAAGGACGCCCGCGGCTACCTGCAGGCCTTGGCCACCAAGATGACGGAGGAGCTGGAGACGCTCCGCAGCTCCAGCCTGGGGAGCAGACCTCAGGTACCGAACCGGACCGCCCAGAACCGCTCGGAACCACTCAGGACCGCTCAGAGCCGCTCAGGACCGCTCAGAACCGCTCAGGACTGCTCAGGACCACTCAGAACCGCCCAGAACCGCTCAGAACCGCCCAGAACCGCTCAGAACCGCTCAGGACTGCTCAGGANGACTGCTCAGGACCACTCAGAACCGCCCAGAACCGCTCAGAACCGCCCAGAACCGCTCAGAACCGCTCAGGACTGCTCAGGACCACTCAGAACCGCTCAGAACCGCCCAGAACCGCTCGGAACCGCTCAGAACCGCCCAGAACCGCTCGGAACCGCTCAGGACCGCTCAGAACCGCCCAGAACCGCTCGGAACCGCTCAGGACCGCGGGCCTTTGGGTCCAGCTCATGTTTTAGGATCCAGCCAGACACAGGCTTTTATTGTGAAGGAGGCAGGGCGTTATTTGACCCGCTGGTGACATCAGAACCGGCCTGGGTCAGCAGAGGCCACGCCTTCTCAGAGGCGTTGGCCTCCTATTGGTCTAGAGTTTGATGGACCTGCAGCTCCATGTGGACCATCGATGGGTCACTGGAGGGAGGAGTGCTGGTTCCTGTAGAGCTGGGTGGCTGATCAA